TCCAAATTGTATCCAAATCAGGTGTATTTGGACAATTTCAAAATTTCCATTTGATTGAGTCCATATCTGTATTATCCCTTATGCACAATAGAAATGCTTGTATTTTAAGTTAAAACATTTAAAGATAAAAATGAAATATGAAAAGTAACCGTAAAACCAAAGTTCATATTATCTAAAATTTGTATTTTTTATTTATGCATTTATTTTCTACTTTTCCACCCTGCCTAGTCCAGAGATTCTCAGCAGCTTACATAGAGTATAAAAACCAAATAAAAGATCCACATTATAGCAACTATAAAAACAGTGAAACACCTTCCAAAAGAAAACTCTAAAAAACTGGAAAATGAAAATGGCATGATAAAATCAGAAGGCTGTCCAAAACAACTGCCAAAATGTTAACAAAGCTGCCAAAATGTTAACAAAGAGAGGGCTAGCCTGATCCCCACCAGGAGGTCATCCTACGACATTGGTACTGCCATGGAAAAAGAGCACCTTGTTCCAGCCCCCTGGGGGTCCCCAAAATGTGGGATCGGTAACAGTTTCTCTTTGATCTAATTGATTGAGTTGGTTAAGCATTACAACTGTATTATGCATGTACCTATTGCAGCAGTAAGAAATAACTGTCTTAGATCAGTATTGGCTGAACTTGTATCATGTAAACTGAAAATATTACCATGTGCTTTTGGACAAAAGGAAAATCCATGTGACTTATTGAAGAATATAGATCCAGGGAATACCTTCATAAGCCTAAGCATGTTTCTAGAGTCTACAAGGATCTTAATGTAGTTGTGATTCAGTCTGAATCAATTTGGATTCATTCATCCAAATCAGCTGGAACTGTCAAATCAGATTGAACTGACAATCCAAATCAAACTAAGAATCAAATCAGATTGAAATTGACTTGCGTCCCCTTCTAATATTGTTTCAGCACTAAGCTACTTCTGCAGGATCACTCTGAGTGTCACTGGGAATGGATAAACGTAGAGGAAAACATCCAAAACTCTGGAGAAAAAGTGAAACATTCAGGAAAATAATTGGAAAAATGGGGAAATTGACTTGCGTCCCCTTCTAATATTGTTTCAGCACTAAGCTACTTCTGCAGTATCACTCTGAGTGTCACTGGGAATGGATAAACGTAGAGGAAAACATCCAAAACTCTGGAGAAAAAGTGAAACATTCAGGAAAATAATTGGAAAAATGGGGGGGGGGGATCTTGAAAATGAGAAACATTTTATTTCCAATTTTCCTGGTTTCTTTTCAGGCCTTCCCATCTCTACTTTTGAGAGATAGTTTACAATGCCAAGGTAAGATACTACTGCTTATTTCACATGGAGCAGAGGAGAGAAAAAATCTTTAGGGGGGAAAAAAAACAACTATTTGTCAATGGGAATTGGGGGAAGATCATGGCCTAAAAGTCAGAGTAGAAAGTGGAGGGCCAACTCTAGATTCTCCACTAGTTCCTTTGAAGAGGAAAGATGTACAACTGCAACTGCAAGAAGGGAGAAGAGCAAACCAAGAGACTTTAAAGTTGTCAGGCATGCCAGCAAAGAATCACCTGAAGGAATTCTTACTTTGTACACCTGAACTAAAGGAAGGGTGTGGGTGTTTGCTGCGGTTGTTTCACCTGCAGGCCCTAATTCTTGGATAGTGCTTGGAAATACATTTCATTGAGTTCCATAAGGTTTACTTGCCTGGAAGTAGTTGTAGCAGCACCTGGCAATGTTTTAGATTAAATTGAGTGTTTCTGAGCATGAAGAGGCACCTGTCTGTGACTTCTTAATGCAGCTGTGCCTACATCCAGGCCTCCCCAGCTGTAGGATTCCAGCTTATACTGCTAAAGCATGGGCAGATGTTGCAAAGTTCATGGAATGTATTGAAGACATAACTAAGATTATCACCACTGTTCCTCTTGACCTTGCACAAAAATGTAAGATTTCATTCACCAGCAGCTTCTCCCCCTCCCCCTTTCTCCCTCTCCACAGTATTTCAAAGGATTAGTCAACATATTGATAGTTCATGTTCCAACTAGCAGACTGTTACCAATAAATGTGTCAAAGGAATGTCAGTAGTTATGTTGAACTCATGGAGGAGAAAAATAAAGCCTACACTTTGGACTGAATGGAGACCTCCTGGTTCTCCCGCAGTGACTGCATTTCGTCTTTGCTGTTCTCAAAGCAGGAAGGACTGAGCCAACACCAATAACAGACATCAGTAAGCAAGTATCCCTACATGTTGTGGGGAGTGGGGGAGTGAAGTGCAAGCACCCCATTCCTCACATAAAGAACCCAGCTAGCTGGCAGCACCTAGCCAACTTTAGTTGATCTCAAAACAGTTAAGGAAGGTTGGATCCGTTTAGCACTTTAATGGGAAGCCACACAGAATTCCTGAGCTGTAGATTTGATTGAGAAGTTGAAAAATATCACTGAAATAAGCAATGGCAAACCACAGCTGTAATGTTGCTAAAAGAGCTGCACAGACATATCCCTGTACCCATTAGGATTCAAGGTGAATTCAAAGGAGACGTTATCCTAAAGGAGAAGAGTTCAGCTCCATTCCAGGTATAGGAGCTGGTGGTGGTGACAGTTGAATCTTACCCCGCCACTGTCAATGCTATAGGATCCTATATTGCATCTAAGAGTAAGAGACTATTTTAAGGAAACGCTGGACAGGCCATGTGGTTTGCACTCTCTGTCCTTCAGGAGGGAAGAACAGACCACTTAGGAAATTGTCATTCACTGTCCATTAGCATCTGCTACCTAAAGCAGCTGTTCCATTCTACCTAACAGTAGGGCTGGCCATGCCTTCCTGAGCATACTCAGTGACCATGAAATGGTGGCTGATGACTGAAGGAGAGGGGAAATGCTCAGAAGGGCCAATGGCGTTGTAAGGAATGGAGCGTCCTGAGCAGAGGCATGGTCCTGAACACTCCACACTGCAACAACCTGGGCAGATCAAAATGATCAATACTTCAATACCTTCGGCAGTGAGTTAGCATTCTTTATATAGTAGATAGTTTCTTTCAGCAGGCTACCCTCTGTAGATCAGTTCTCCAGCAGGAAACATATAATGCTCTGTTTTGATCATTCCTGCACTACAGATGAGTCATGCCAGTTGGTAGCCATTTAGCAGAAGGAGGATTTCATTTGTTCCCTTCTGCACCTGATCCTGCAACATCTGAAGAGACGCCATGTAATTGTAGCTACCTTTAGGCATAGGATGTTCCAGTTCAGCACCCATTAGGAGCATTTTACATTCTCACTACAGTGCTGCCTGTAGTTGTTCAAAAGCAGCCCTTGTACTTTTTGTTACTCTTAATGCTGGGAAGAAACAAAAGGAGTTGCTTAATAGTAGTAATATACAGTACTCTGAGAAGTTCAAAGCCAAGTATTAATGTAGAAATATTATTTGTACATAAATAAAATGGCAGTGAGTTAGCAATCTGGGAGCGGTAAAACCATGGGAACCAGCAAATATTAATTAAATGGCTATATTTATCCTTCCCAATAGGGCTGTTTGTTATTCCGTACACATAGCTGTAAGATAAATCAGTGTGACCTGGGTTGGATTTGCCAGGTAAATAAGCAGCCTCTAAAAGCTGAGCTAATGATCGAAGTTGTATATGAAAGAGGATCCTTTCCTTAAGCCAGCCTTTTTCTAATTTTGGAATTGAAAATACAATGAAACATTCTGCGGACCCCAAATCAGAAGGAAGCTGGTCACACCTTTTCAGACGAACACGTTTTATTAAAAAGCATACGTTTTCATGAGTTAGAGCAGCCTTCATCAGACGCGATGGAGCGGCTGGACTGATGTAGGATTTAAATTGGGATCGAGGAGGGGGGAGAAGAGGAATCTGCATAGCCACCCGGTCTTCTGTCCACCCCTCCCCCATCCTGATTTAAATTCTACATCCTAGACAGATGACAGTGGCATCTTTTGCAGAACTGGGCATGCTCCGCCTGGAAAGATGAAAGCTAAAAAGGTGGATATTTCCATCAGTTCTGATACTGAGAGCTAAGGCACGGAAATGAACAAAATTGCAAAGCAAGCAAGCAAAACAGGTGAAGCAGCTTTTATAAGGAACTTTAACAATGAACCACGAGAGACAAAAATAGTTTGCTGTGTTTTCTCCACTGAAGTTTGTATCTTCCCCTTTCCTGTTCTCCTCCTCTTCCTTGCACAGAGTAATAGATCTTAAGGTGCGCACAGAATTATTGGGCTCAATCCAGTCATGGATACGCTGTTCTACGATTCATGGATTGCAGTGAGACATTTACACATACACTTATATTGATAACCACTCATATAATGAGATTCACTCTGGTTCTAAGGCACGGGAGTTTTAAAATGCCTGTTTGGACTGTACTGTCCCCTTTTATTATTACTGGAGGCACCAAAGGCTAAAGATAAAAACTGCTCCCTCCAATTCAGTTAAACTGTTGAAATCTAAATCTCAATGAAGTCAGCGAATCAGGAAGTCTAACTCTGTACAAGATTGCTACCAAAGATATGAATGGTTCATTAAAGAAGCCAGACACATTTTGCATGGTGGCCCTGCTCGGAAAGTGCTAATTGTGATTAAATTCCACTAAAGTCAATGAGACTTTAGTTGGACCCAACAACATGCGTTATTGGTTTTACTGGAATATATTCAAGTCTAATGAACTGCAGCCATTTCAGTGTTCAGGTTTTCATCTTTCCTCTGTTTCGTTGTCGAGTAATTACACAAGGCATCCCACTGCAAGTCTGCAGATCAAGTGCGCCGTGCGAACATTTTTCTTTGCACATATTATGGTAGCTACTTTAATTTTTGAAACACTGCATGCAATATGAAAGCAGTCTCTCGTAATCAGATCATTGTGGCCCTTTCCATTTTCCTCATCAAGTTCTCTATTTTAATTGCCTGCCTCACGCCAGCTTCAGGATGTGATCAGCGGTGAAAGGTTACAATATTTGTGGATAGGCTGGGTGAGTTAGATATTAATTCTCCATTTTCCCCTCCCTCTCCCTGCAATGCCTTAATTGTCCAAAGTCCACCTAGAAAGCACTGAAGATGATGTTCTCGTCCTCTTATGATGTGAGTTTCCTTGTCATGGCTAAGAGAGATGCAAATGAAGACTTGGAATTTGAACAATCTCCTCTGGTTTGCCAAATGTGACTACCTGGAAATCATCAGGAACGAGATATAACAAATGTCAGATACATTAGCAAATGTCAAGTATGAAGCAAGAATACAGTGGGTTTCCTGCATGAATTTCCTACCACCTAAAGGTTGCCTGGGGGAAGGAGAATAGGGATGGGAGGGGGAAGAATCCAGAAGTGCTAATAAGAGAAAATATTTCACTTGTTCTGTGCCTTTATTGTGGATTTGGTCTGCCCTTGGTGCCCCTACATTGCAGGACACCTTTCTAAAATAGCGATTGGGAACATGGGCTATTTGCCATAGAATTCCATCTCTTTAGTTCACCTTAAAGTTATTTTAGTTCATTTTTGTATTTTCCCCTTAATATTCCTTGGGTGCCTACTTGGCTGTTGGTTATGAATAAAATGTATTTAACAGTTTCTCCTACATTGTTTACATAGGAACAAAAAACCCCTTTTCAGTGGAATGAATTCTAATTATTTAAAAAGAACACGAAAGAATTCATTTCTGAAAATAGTCACATTGTTCAATAAGTCAGTTACTTGATGAACTAAGTCTTCTGTAGATTTTTTCTGGTTCAATACCTTGCCTTTATCTATCACCAAAACACGGTCACACCCTTCAATGGTGTTTAGGCGATGTGCTATTGTCAAGACCGTGCAGTCTATGAATGCTTCTTGGATGGTCCTCTGGATCCGCATATCTGTCTCAGAATCAATAGAAGCTGTGGCTTCATCAAGAAGTATAATCTGTAGAGAGAATTCCAACAGTTTAGGCAAAGGTCTTCTTTTCCTCCTTACAGAGTACAAGTAAGGAAAATAAATGAATGTGCACAAAATAGCCAAGGCAATTCGCAGCTGGAGTGCTGTTGTGCAAAGATGGTCTGATGCTGGGTTCACGCAATACACTGAGCCATGGTATAGTTTGGTTGGCTTGGTTTGGACTTAGCATGCTGCATTGACAGTTTTGCATGATAGTTGAGGCAACATGTTTTTGTCTTTGAGCCAGTTTTCGACTCCTGGTGATTGTCTGGACTGGTCCCTGTAGTTTTCTTGGCAAGGTTTGGTTTGCCCTTGCCTTTTTCCTTGGGCTGAGAGCTTTCATGCCTAAGGTGGGACTAGAACTCACGGCCTCCCGGTTTCTAGCCTGATGCCTTAACCACTACACCAAATTGGCTCTTATGAATCAAGGCTGCAAATGTAATGATCAAACATTCCCAACTTTGCTTAGTAAAGAGGAGAAGTTCTTGGAGTCTCATGCTTCCTGGAGTAACTTGGCCTGGGGTGTCTGTCTATGATCATGTGTAGGCCCCCAAGTGAAGAACAAGACATGGAGCAGTCCACTGTGCTTGCAGAGACCTCTCACCATTTGTAGAATGTGCCCATTAACCCTCTGAGACTTCCAGTGGTTTAAATATTATATATGGACATTCTACCAGTCAGGCAGCTGTAAGACCATTCATGAAGATTTGAGTATTAATATATATTTGCGTGTTTGCACTGGATTATGTTTTATAGATTTTAGAGAACCCATGGCTTCTCAGGGAGGTAGGCAGCAAAAGGTCAGTATGAGTATTTTTGGTACAAAAAGCAGTGATGGCAAGCAGAAGTCCAGAGCAAACCAGTTATCCCCTAGAGTCTATTTAAACAAACAAATATTTGGATTCCTTATTAACAAGATCAGGTAGAGTTGACATTTTGCAAGAAGAGAGAGCCTGCTGGTCATCTGAACAATAGCACCATCTTCCTTTTTAATTAAGAATAGCAGCCCGAGGGACAGCAGTGGCTGGAAAGGGAGCAGAATCTTGCCTCTTGGATAAAACAGAATTGGTTAGAATAACGGCAGGCATGTTGTACATGACCGGATTAAAAAAAAATTACCATAGTGTTTGAATGGCAGTATAATTTAAACAATCTATCATATGAGCAAGGTGATACAAATAGCTGAAAATGAGTGCTTAAATATTCAAATGAGTCCTTAAATAGGCAAACAAATGCTTAAATAAAGCCGAGAAGTAAAAGACAGAGTCAGGGCCCTTATAGTTGAAGAAGAATTTAGAGTAAAGTTGGAATGAGAGCCCAGAAAGTTATTGAAGAGAGCTTTTATAGGGCTAGGTGCTCGGAAGCTTCTTGCACTTTCACAATTGACTAGAAAGAGAAGAAGAACCTTGTGCTGGATCAGGCCCACAGGTGTCCATCACAAGCTCCAATGTCCTCCCAGGTGTCATGACATCATTGCACAAATTATCTAATTCACAACATTACATTTTCATGATGGTCTCCTGAAGTACATGAGATTTGCCCTTCCTTGCCCTGCTGCCCTCGTAGATACCCCTTCTTCAATCCAAGGATTACCTGCTCCAGAATATTTGTGATCCAGTCTAGATTGGATGTAACTAATCTGATCTGAATCAACAATCCAAACTGGCACTTTGAACTGAGTTGGAGAGTCAAATCCGCAAAATGAACCTTTGCTGGTCCCCAGGGTCATTCCTACCCCTGCTTAGAGCCTCATTTTGTGCATAATCTATATAGACATCAAGGATACAATCTAACTTGCCTTTAAATAGTAGTAAGGAATACAGTGTTTTAATGCCCCTTCACTGTAACTGTAAAACTAGAAATACAGACTGATTGATGTTTTGACTTCAAGGGACTCTTACGTATTCAAGACCAGCCTGAATAATGTCAAATCCCTATAGAACTCACTTTTGAATTTCGAAGGAGTGCTCTTGCCATACAGAGTAGCTGTCTTTCCCCCACTGAGAAATTTTCCCCATTTTCGACAACTTCTGCCTCCAGCTTTCCTGGTAGTTTGGAAACCTAAAGCAAGGAAAATGCCACTGAACTGAAACATTGTGTTTGATGCTCACAATAGTGAATGTGAATAGCGAATTTTAACAATTATACTGGTGCTTTTCTGTTGGGTAAAGTAATGCAGATGTAAATGGAGCGTGCAATAAGTGACTTAAATGTTTGGTGATAGGCAAGGGAGAAAGCAAGCAAACAACAGAAAGGAACAGCAGAGAGAGGAAGAGAAAGAAATGGTCCATGTAACATTTTGGAATGCAACATCTAGGGATGGTGGGCAGTTTCTCTGTTCAACAAAAAATCTCCATAGAATGGTAACATGATATAGAACAATTAGATAAACTTGATTCATTTCTCTGGGAGGTGAAAAACTCTAGTGGTCATAAAATCTGCCCTCTGGTGTTAAAGGATCCAACAATAGGTAACTTGTTTGAAAATATATATATATACACACACACACACACACACACACACACACATATACATACACACACATACACACACACACACATTCATTCATTCATTCATTCATTCCACGTGTTGTCTTTTTTAAAAAACTAGTAAATAATAATATGCAGTGTAAAAAGCATAAATAACATACCTTGCCTGTCATAAAAGTTTGGTTCAGAACTCGCCAAATTTGATCATCAGTGTGGTCATGAAAAGGATCTAGGTTGTACCTGCAAGGTAGAAATTGGCATCAAAGAAGTATATTGTTTACTGTAAAGAAAACATCACTCTAACATTATTAGCAGACTGTCATAGCGCTCATGATTATTTTGCAAATCA